CAAAACAGCAAAAGTAAGAGGGAATTCATGACGATGTTTATGTGAAGCCTAGTTTGGATCTTCTTTTGCTGCTGGTTCAGTCAATATTGTTTGGTGAGTGATGAAACCTGCAGCTTCAGAATCTAACGCAAAAAGGACGTAAACACAAAGCACGGACCCGAAACACCAGAATCGAGAATCGCTAGCTGTCGGCTTCCAGCCCCGACTTGCTGATTCTGATCTGTCGGCGTTGTGTTTACGTCTTTGTGCAGAATCCGTATACCTGCTCTCTTATACTGTTTTAGTTGTTTGGTGGTTGTTAAAAATTTGTGAGGTTTAACCTGAGATTCTGGCGTTCCGGGCAAAATAAATTTATATTAAAAAATCGATTCAGGATTTTAATGAATTGATATCACGTTATCCAAGCTAGAATCGATTTTAATCGATAAATCGATCATCAAAACCCACCCCTACTTTCATACCATAATTTACAAAATTAACTTTATTTTGTATTCAGTAACACTTTAAACTCCTGAGAGGTAGAATTTAGACAGCAGGGGACCTAACGGTTGTTTTTTAATCATAGACTTCTGTATAACTGCTGTCATTCACGAAGAATGGAGTCTTCCATATTCATTCACTTCCGTACTGGCTTTACTCTTTCAATGTCCAACCTTTATATATAGTCTATGACTATATAAAAAAATCTAAATAAATTTTTTATAAAATTCCACAAAAACAACATTTTTGTTTATTTTCTAACTACAAAAAGTTGAAACAGGTAAAAAAAAAAGGAAAATGAAGTAGGGCTAACCCCCCTCCCAAAAACAAAACAAAACAAAACAAAACAAAACAAAACAAAACACCTAGCTGAACATTCAGCTAATTAACAAGTCAGTGACATAATTGGGTATAATAGATGGACAGCAGTTCAACAACATACAAAACACTAAGTCTACAAATTATGGAAAAATGTTCCCCAACAAAAAAACATAAAAGGTTCCTAGACTTACATCATTGTTTCTATAGAAAAATAATTATTTAGTCATTATTTGAATTCAATTCGATTAATTTTTTCATATACCAACAATCATCTGAAGGCACTTTTTACTGTAAGGTAAAGATGCTAAAATAATACAGAGAACAAGCCAAGGACCCCTCCTGAAGGGAAAATGTCCTATTTAATAACAGAATATCCATCTACTGTGACCAGTTAGGGGTGATGGTTTACAGTACAATGTTTACAATTTGCAGTATTTACTGTGAATAATATCATAAAAAGATCCACACAGTCTAGAGAAATCTCTACAAGAGAGAGGGCCACAAATCAATATTGTGCTTGATGTTTGGACCCTCAGGTGGCCAAAATCATTTAACCTCCTAAGACCCGAACTCTTTCATAGCATCCATTTTTGATTTCTCTTTGCTGTTTGGGCTGACTGGGACTAGATAAATGTAAAAACAAAGAATTAGCTGATTTGTATTTTTTTTTTCCTGATTTTTGTTTTTGACAAAAATGAGATCCACATATGAGGAAATTTGTTTTAAATTTCGATTCACTAGTGACAGTATAATGTCCTTGTAAGTGGATATCAGGCCCTTGTAGAGCAAAATGTAGTATTTTGGTCTAGACCAGCCAAAATATGATCTCCACATATGTGGACGCCAGATCCTAGGAGGTTAAAGTAACTAAGGCAGAGTGAAAAACTGGTCAGAAAAATTGAAAGTTGAAACTCTTTTTAAAAATCATAGTCTTTCTCTCTCTTCTCTCTGTGAGAACACAATGTGATTTATGGTTCGTTATCAGTGCTTAAGGAATTCCTTACATGTTTCAGCAAGACATACTATTACATCTATTTCAACAACAGTTCTCCACCTGCTGAACTGGCCTGCCCTCAGTCCACACCCTACAATAACTGAAATAACTTTGTGAGATGTAAAATGATGAATGGGATAGAGAGGTCACAGAACACCACAGTTCCTAAATAGTTATGGAGGTTTATTAGAATACAGACGGATGATGCACAGTGGTAAATATGGACAACTCTTTTTCAGAGGTGTTGGTCCCATCAAAGTGTAATATTCTTCTTAAAATTGTACATTTTTTCTGTGTTCAATTGTGTATAATATGTGGGTTTGTCAGATTTGAAAATAACTGCAATCTGATACATTTTACACAATGTTCCTGCATCTTTCGAATTAGAGTTGCTTTATGATGATACTTTACATGAAATTGCTCACTGTCCCACAAGCAGTTTATATATGGCAGATATTTGTAGTCAACACCTAGACATTGGTATTACACTTTTAGCTAGCAACAACTGGTAAAATGTATTCTTGTCTTGTCTGGCAGGATGAATGGTGCCATCACTAAGGGTTATGAGGAAGATGTAGGAAACAAAACATCGGTTTATGTTCACACAGCCCAGTCCATCACGACATCACTTTACTTGCTCAAGAAGTACGGGTACAAATCTGCCCCTCATGACGAGGTACTTAAACTTCAAAGACAACAGTGTTGTATCGTACTTATTTTCCCTGCACAGAATAAACATATGTGCTCTCCTTTTCCTTTTGGCAGGGTATAAAATATGTGTTGATTCCAGAGGGGATGAGGGATTTCCAGTGGCTAAAGGCTCTTCTGAGAGGAGAAAAGGTCTCTGCTGGCCCATACCGCAATAAACTGTGAGTATAAAATGCAAAAAAAAGAAAGAAAATTAATCAAGAAGTGTATTCACCACTTTCAAAATGTTGCAATTATCCCATTAAGGAATTAAGACTCCAACTGTATTTGTTTACGTTTTGTTTTTTGTTTCTTTCACAATAGTCCTGCCTTGCGTTTTTGGAAGCAGAATCATGATGTAAATGTTTTGTACTCCCAAACACATATGTTTGTTTATTTTCCAGTAAATAAATAAACACTATAACCTTCTATTTTTCTATTTCTATTTTATGGGACACATAATGATGCCACTGAGGAGAAAGTTATTAAGATTATTTGTACTATCATACATTATCCTTTACAGTATTATATACAACAATTGGACAAAATAAAATATTAATCAATACAACTATATATATTTAATCTATTAATTTATTCAAAGTCTGTTGCCTTAGGTCAACACTGTAACTTAATATAATATAGAAAACAAAACAAAACAAAACAAAATATGTGACTAACAATTGTCTTCTATATTTTGTCTTCTAACCTCACCAGACCAAGGACCTACTATTCAGGGCAATACAATGAAAGTCGTTTCTACGTTCTGCACCAGGACTTCCTCCGATATGTGCGGAACAGGTCAGCCTGCAATTAACACCCTGTACATAATATTTTTGTTAAAAGGACTATGAATAGTTAGAAGAAAGCTGAGAATGATCTCAAAACTGGAGGTGAATTAATTGATCTAATAGAGATTGATCAGCCATGAAGGTATTATTCATGACTGTTTTATCATCTGGGACTTAACTCCAGGCCACTATGGACTGTAAAACAAACAAACAAACAAACAAGCAAACAAAGCAAACACACATCAAAAAAGCATTGTGATGAACTCAGGTGGAACAATGATGAAACGGTCCCAATCTGTACTTACAGTTTCTTTTTGTTGTTTACAGCTCTACCCCAGGAATGCAACCATATTAGCTAATTCAACCATACAGTTGTGATTCCTATTATAAATAAACAATAAGGATGAGAAACAAGCAAAACATCACTGGAATAACTGTTATAAGATTGTAACTCAGACATGAATGTCAGCATGAACAGTCCTTTAACAACTTAATTATACAGTACTTTTCCCATTTACTTTGAAAATGGGAAATATTTGTAGCAATTTATTGAAACATGTGCAAACATACATAGAAATACAATATATTAGACAAAATATATTGGTACAATTCTAACCAATCAATGTTTGGTGTGCCCACCTTTATTTTTCAACACAGTCTGAACTCTCTCAGGCAAACTTTCTTGTAATTTCTTTAAGTGGTCTTCAGGAGTAGGACTCCAGTCTTCTTGAAGTACATCCAAAATCGGGTGTCTTCTGACCCATTCTTTGTCACGATGATACACACTGCTTCAATAATGTTAAGAATTGGGCTATGGGGATATTGTTCCACTGAGTAATTTTCTATGCATGTGTTCTTTAACAGTGTGTTTGGGATTTGGAGGTTGCCTATTCTGCTGTCATAGAAATGTAGTTCATTTTTCCCCATGTGTATGCTTAATTGATGCTTCTTCTTCACTTACAGGTTCTTACCGTCATCTCGTCTGAATAAAACATCCTGGGCTGCAGTCAGACCAACCAACGGGGCATTCACTGTCTTCTTGGCTCTGCACACCTGTGACATAGTGAGTTAAAACTACTTGAACTTTGTGTGCTTATTGTTGGTATTCACAGCTTTAGAAGCATTGACCTGGCAATTAACTCTACAATGAGCAAGGCAACTTTCGGGATTTTTCTCACACAGCCCAGATGAATCAGAAATAAGATGAAGAGTCAAAGACACCTTTCATGAAAAAGTATATTTTTACTCTGCAAGTTAAACTGAAGGTCCGAACCATAGGGATTAATACAGTGCCACCCACCACATGATAATTCCCTTCATAAAACATAAGCGTTATAAGCGTTTTCACTGTTCTCTGTGTTTTAAATCCAAGAATAACTGGGATGAATGTGATGGATCCCAACCATCATAGCCTTTGCCTCTCTAACTTTGTCCTCAACCTGCTTTCCTCTTATTTTAATAAAAACACACATACACACGTATAATCATAATATATTTCTCCTACTATTACTCCTCCCTTTCTGTCTTCCTCAGGTGGATGCATATGGATTTATGACTGACGACTATGTCAAATATCCTAACTACTATGTTGAGAAAAAGATGAGCAAAGTCATTTTCTACATCAACCATGACTACAATTTGGAGAAGAATACATGGAAAGACCTGCATAACAGGAAAATAATCAGGCTGTATCAAAGAACTGAGTCAAAAGCAAAGAACTAAAAGCAACACTGACATGATCAAGATTTCTTTTTTGTTGGATTTTAGTGGTTGACTTTGCTTTTATAGTAAATTTACATTTCTAGAGGTTTAATGGGGAAAGAAGTTCTGATTTTATTGTGGCTGTTTGTTTTGATGTTACAGTTTTTCTCTGTTATTTTATTTTCTTAATTAGTTCAAAAGTTGTATCTTCCAGAAAAAATATTTTTTGTGAAACACAAAATGTTCAATGAAATACAACAAGTTTTGTATAGAGTTGTTTGATGCATCAATGACATCACAATGACAGCTCAAATGATCTGTAACATCTGTGTACATTGTGCATGTAATTTTATGTAGGAAATAAAGCTGACTTTTGTGGGATGTGTTAATTTTGTATTTTATAATTTACTAGCATAATGTAAACATACTTCTATTTCTAGTTTGCTTAAAAGTTTTAACCTAAAATCACTGTGCCCTGAAGGATCCCTTATTTATACTTTATCTTTTGCTTTATGATTCTTTTCTTGACTGAACTGAGCTGACTGCAGGTTTTCCCAATCTTATAAACAGTACATTTGCATAATGACTGAAACCAGCCCACTGAAGGAACCATGGGCTGGGAGGTCAGTTCCTTAATCTTAATTATGCAAATTCTCATGACCATAATCAACAACCAATGACCAAAACCCGCTGATCAAAGCGATCAATGGCGAAAGATGTACCCTGTAGGTGTAAATAGACTGCAGAGTCCTGGCCTGACGAGGCTTACACCTACAGGCCAGTGGACACTCTTTCAAGGATGAGGATGTACACATCTTGGACAGGGAGGAACGCTGGTTTGAGCGTGTAGTCAAGGAGGCCATTTACCTGAAAAGGGAAAGACCAGCTCTGAATCGAGGAGGGGGCCTAAGGGTACATCTTTCGCCATCTTACAATGCTGTGATTGCAGCCATTCCCCAACTCTCTGTGAATGGTACTCATGGCCATTGATCAGTGGGCTTTGATCAGTGGGTTTTGGTCATGCTCCGGCTCGCTGAGCTCCTCTGGCTCAGGCTGAGCGAGCGCCTCCGGCTCGCTGTGCTCCTCTGGCTCAGGCTGAGCAGATCCGGGTGGATTCCTTGCATCATTAACATAGAATGTTCCAATGCAGTCTATGCCACAACCAGTCTGGCAAATCCGCCATCTTTGGATCTTGTGTGTTCCTTCTATACTTCCTGCATGTGATGCACTTATAGATGTGTGAGGCAACTGCACTGCTGCATCCAATGACTCATATCCCATTAGATCGCAATTCATTTACAGTCATACCTCTTCCCTGATGCTGTACTTTCTTATGATAATGCTGGATCAGTAAAGAAGACACGTTGCTTGCTTTTGGAAGAATGGCAGGATGTTTCATGTGTGGATGAAGATCAGATCTTGTCAAGTGGCCGCCTGCTCTCAGCACACCCTGCTTATCCAAAAATTGACTTAATTTGCATAGCGTGTTTGCTTTGTCTTTGGATATTATGTTGTTGCATTGCCGTAGATTCTTGATTTCACTGCTGAATGCTTCTCTTTGGACCAATCTGATTCTGAAAAGTTTAGTTTGTTGTCTTTCCTCAACACTTGTACTTCCGTTGGGATTAAGACCTTTGACTTGCTTAGCACAACATTTAAGACAAGCAACAGCTCATTTAACAGCTCTTTTCCAGCCAGTAAACTTAGTCAGGCGGTCCAACAATGTTCTATTTACCTTTGTGCTGGTGTTGAGCACCTGAGCCTTCAAAAGTTCTGGACAATGATCCAGAACTTTTGAAGTTCTGCCGTCAATTCCGGGCCAGCAGGATGACGGGAGGGGAGCAGCCGTTTGCGTGGGCTCGGCAGCTGGAGGATGCGGCAGCGAGGTGGCTGCGACCGGGCCCCTCGGCTGGGGAGGCTGAATCTGGTCGTCCTCGAGCAGTTCGTGGGAGGCCTGCCCGAGGCAACGGCTAGTTGGGTCCACTGCCACCGCCTGGCGGATTTGACGGCGGCGGTTATGCTGGCGGAGGACCATCTGGCGGCCAACCCGGCACCCAGCCGTGAGGAGCCGCGGCGGAGCGCCTGCTGTGACGCCGCCCAGGCCACTGTCACATATTAATTCAAACATTCAAATAATTAATCATTAAGGAAAATGTGCTTGGTATAAACTGAACATATACCAATCAAACAAAAGGTTAGATTGAAAATCTACATGTAAACAGATTAGTTAACGTATGCATTTTAGGCATTTTTTGTTATTTTGAGTGCATGAAGACTTATGAGAGACAATAGAGCGACTGTTTTGGTAGTCGCTCTAATGTAATTTAACAGAGAACTATTTTGGCTGGAAATTTTCAAATGCTGGATTTAATGTCGATATCAGAGTTTACACATCAGACTAGAGATCAGACTAGTGTTGGGATGAATCATGCTATTTTTTTCAGGTGATTGATTATATTTTCTGATGGTGGATATAAAGATTTAGTTGTTAATATCCATAGATTTAAACTATATGCTACCTGCATCATATTGTCTTGTTTGAGACATCGTTATAAAGACATCCATCTTTTAAATATGAAACATTAGTTTAAAGCAAACTAACAAACCTCTTCTCTACTCATACAGCAACCATAAAACAGTTATAGATTGTGTATTCATGTTTTTCTTTTGGTTTGCAGATGGGATGATTCAGTGAAGCTGATTCCAAAGCCAAAAGAGCCACTGCTTCTCCCAAAACCAGGTGGTGATGGCTGTGTGTGCTGTGCTGTGGTAGGTACTGGAGGAATCAAGTGGTGAAGATTTACTGCCATTCATGTCAAAGTTATTCTTATAGCTTTTGTCTTGATGGTAGTGTGAAAATGTAAAAATACTACTACAGACAACCTTACTAATTTTCCAAGTTATTTGTTTACATTTTTCTGTTGTTAAGAAGTAATAAGTATCATTTTCTGTTCTGGTAGTTGGTCTAATGTAATTTAACAGAGAACTATTTTGGCTGGAAAAATGAGCATGGGTAAGAAGACTCCAGACTTCAAAACGGTTAACGAAGGATGTCATCCTTTTAGTATTTATCACCCATACCTAATTTCTTGAAGTATTGCGAAAAATACTTGACTTTGACGGGGAAACCTAGGGACACTTTAGGGTCATATGGCAGGCCCAGTAACGAAAGATAAAGTAGTGTTAAACATACCCTGCTTTATCTGTCTTTGCGACTCTCATAATTTACAAAATGAACTTCATTTTGTATTCAATAAGACTTTAAACTAGTGAGAGGTAGAAATTAGAGAGCAAGAGAACCTAAGGGTTGTTTTATCATAGACTTCTGAGCAACTTCTGTACAAAGAATACAGGCTTAAATTACTTCCATATTGGCTTTACTCTTTAGATGTCCAGCCTTCATATACAGTCTATGATATATCTCATTCTAGAGAAATTCATTTCATTCATTTTTTTGTATACTGCCAAATAACAACAACATATAAACAAAATAGGATTTTTCTATCACTAAAAACTTACAATGTGTCTGTGTTTTGATGGTTTATGGTTTATGATTTTTCAATCAGAAAGAGACCAGATCTGTACATCCACATATAAACTCTCATTGCTCCTGTTTTTCAATGAAATGGTGCTTTTTGGCAAAACAGGTATACAGTCACCTCAAGGCAGGAAAAACTATTCTGCAGTCATAATTTTTTATTTTTTTTTTTAATCAGTGCATAAGGAATGCCTTGTATGTTTCAGTAAGACATACTATTGCGTCAGTGCATACTATTAGATCTATTACAACAGCAGTTCTCTACCTGCTAAACTGGCCTGCCTTCAGTCCACACTCTAAAACCTGAAATACCTTGGTGAGACATGAAATGATTAATACGATAAGGAGGTCAAGTCAAGTGGCTTGACAAGTGATTGTCATTTCAACCATGTGCAGTGGTACAGTACACAGTGACGTGAGACAATGTTCCTCCAATAGAAAACTGCAACAATGGCAGTGGGATGTGGAAAAAGACTGAGCATTGTGCAAAAAGTAAAAGTATGAAGGTATGTGTGTGTCCAACACGTTCTCACTCCCAACTTGTCAAATGTGTGACGCATGGTCAGGCTCCCTCTGCTTCACTTATCGACGCGCAGGGTACCCCCCCTCGCGTTGAGAATTGACTTGCAGGGTCCTCTCATTGAATACTATAGAACTCCCTAAACGTTGTTTATTGACGACAAGAGATTGCCGCGGAAGAGCCTGTTGTCCGTATATTTATATATTTCTGAAATCACATTGTAGTGATGTATACTGAACACAATAAATTATATAATGTAATCATCTATAAAGCTATATTATGAATGAAATAAAGCTGACCTTTGTGGGATGTTTAGTGTTTTTATCATTGCATTCACTGTCGCAAACTCACAATAACGGCGTCAACGCGTTAGCGCGGCTAGCTCATTAACGCGTTAGCGCCATCCAGCCCCACACACGGGCGAGCCGCGCTAACTCGTTAACGGAGATTTGCCATGTTAATGCGGTTATGCCGTTAACAGCATTTTAACTAGATTAACGCTGACAGCACTAGTTTTTATTTTTTATTTTATATTTTTTTGTTTGAATCTGCATGCTCAATTTGTCTGTCACTTTGCAGCTGGAATTTCCCCAATAAGGGACAATAAAGGGTTATTCTATTCTATTCTATTCTATTCTATTCAGTTCTGCATAGAATAGGACATACAGCACATCCCAAACAAACTGGTACAAACCAGATACCCTTTATTCCATACTTTGCACCAGTACAAACAATTTGGCAGTCACATATTTTAGTCTCTAGTTTTCTTTGATGCAGCTTTTTTATTTTGCTTTGGTAAAATGCTTTTTTTAAAAATATGATCTTCTCCAAAATGTAGTTTTGGGCATAAATTTTAATATATTTCTCAAAACAGTGATTGGTGTATTTTATGTAATTGTGTTTTATATGAATTTATATACATCCCCCTGAGGATGCCAGTAAGAGGACATAGTTTTCGGATTACCTTAACAACAACAATAAAAACCACCACCACCAACAAAAAACGTTTACTTGCACAGCACTTACTTACTCCCAGAGCTGAAGTGAATTAAAACCCTTGGAGAAATACAGACATGTTGAATATATGTGTAATATATTGCAGATACTGTTAACAACATGTTTATGTGAAATATTAGTTTTTACCACTAGATGGCAGTAATGGATTTGCTAGGCCAATCCAAAAACCTACACATGCCTTTAGGCAACAGTCAGTTAAAAATAATTTCTTCTGTAGTTAAACTTCATTTAAAACTACCCCTTTAAAAGTGATTCGGTTTATCCACACTGTGGTTTTATGCAAAAATAAATCTAGTGTTTCAAGCTGCCTGAGTTACTCGTCAAGTGAATAACTGTTACATTTGCAGTATTTTTGGTATAGAATTCCTTTAATTAGAGTGAGATTGCAGCAGTTGTATATATACAAAAAAGCATATTCAAGAAATCAATATGATTTGATCAATTTTGACAACAAATATTATTATTTGTGCTTCTGACACAATTAAAAACAATTAACCCTGCTTATAAGTAATTCTGTACTTATTTAGTACAGTTGAGCATTTTATTTTTAATTAATTAACTTAACACTATCATTGCATTGTACAGTAACAAAAATATACTAAATATTTACTAAAATAAAATGCAAATTGTTATAGTATCAGAATCTGAAAATGTACGTGTTAAGAATCCAGCATTGAAGCTATTTTGAAAAGGTTAGGTTGCATGCACTCAAAGAAGGGGGTGATCGAACAATTTTTCAATAAGGAAAAAACAAACAGAACAAACATGTTGGCCATGTTTGACAGACAACACCTTTTACTTGTAGTAAGATAGTGAAGGATGCAATACAAAGTGGTTCTGATGATTTGAATCCTGAAGGGAGCAGTTCTATTTTTATTTGAATTGCAAAAAGGAATGTGATTGAGGGGATTTCAGGCTTCTAAAACGTTGGCTGAGGCTTTCAGTATTCGACAGTGCTATTGCTATTTGCACATTTTATTTGAAGTTACTTGAATATCTGAATAAGAAATTAAAAAGTGCTTTGAAGGGAAAACGCTATCAAAAAACTGAAAGCAAAAAATGCATTTAACTTTTTGATTTTTTGCCCTGTTTTAATCTTATTTATTTATTGATCTTTTTTTGTATTTTCTTTATCACTGAGGGCACCACTGTAATTTTTGTTACGTTCTTGTAACATAATGACAATAAATAAATAAATCTAAACCTTGAGACAATTTAGTTATAGTTTAGAGTTATAAACCTTGGAGGAGTCCTTTTACCTTCAGCTAAAAGCAATCAGGTTGTCTCATAATATAAAAAATACCCTACGGACATACACTTCTTTTTTTTTTTTTTTTCCAAAAAGTCCCATGGAATAAACCTTTAGGCTGACTTATAGAACAAGATGTTTCAATGTCTTTAATTTAAAGATTTCTGCTTGTGATGTTGTTATATACTGGACTGAGGACCCCTTTAGGATTGGCAAAACATCCAAAACAAACTAGAACAAATCAGATCACCTTCATTCTATCCATCCATCCATCTATCTTCCACTTATCCAGTTGAGGGTCACAGGGGGGCTGGATCTTAGTCCCTGGCAATATGGTGGATTTGAACACAGGACTTTCTTAGGCTAACCACTGCACCAACGTGCTGCTTGAAACAAGTTTTGAATATCAACAGAGCAGTGGTGCGGGTTCTGTCATTAAGAGGGAACTCAGTGTTGCTTCGGGGTTTCTGTCTTTGTTTCTGGCTCTGTTCTTTGATACAGTTTTATTATTTTTCTTTTGTGAAAGTTTTTCCATGTATTCTTCTCCAAAATGTAGTCATGGTTGGCATAGAAAATTACATTACTTTTAATGTACTTCTCAAAATAGTAGTTGGAGTATTTCATGTATTCATCAGTCATGAACCCATATGCATCCACCTGAGGATACAGAAAGAGAGAAAGAAAAAAAATATTTTAGTACAGCACTTTTCAAAACATATTTTGCAGAATACCTTAATACAGGATCAATCTGGATCATGCACAGCACAAATCTACAGCAGAATGGCTATATATACATACATACAGTCAACAAAATATCAGAAATGTGAAAAAAAGCTTGAGGGTCCTGCGCAGTATCTTAGCTGTTCCTAGGACTGCGCTCTTCTGGACAGAGATCTCCGATGTTGTTCCCGGGATCTGCTGGAGCCACTCGCCTAGCTTGGGAGTCACTGCACCTAGTGCTCCAATTACCACTGGGACCACCTTCACCTTCACCCTCCACATCTTCTCGAGCTCTTCTCCGAGCCCTTGGCATTTCTCAAGCTTCTCGTGTTCCTTCTTCCTGATGTTGCTGTCATTCGGAACCGCTACATCGATCAGTAGCCGTCTTCTTCTGTTTGTCTACCACCACTATGTCCGGTTGGTTAGCCACCACCATTTTGTCCGTCTGTATCTGGAAGTCCCACAGGATCTTAGCTCGGTCATTCTCCATCACCCTTGGGGGCATCTCCCATTTTGACCTCGGTACTTCCAGGTTATACTCGGCACAGATGTTCCTGTATACTATGCCGGCCACTTAGTTATGGCGTTCCATGTATGCCTTGCCTGCTAGCATCTTGCACCCTGCTGTTATGTGCTGGATTGTCTCTGGGGCATCTTTACACAGCCTGCACCTGGGGTCTTGCCTAGTGTGATAGACCCCAGCCTCAATGGATCTTGTACTCAGAGCTTGTTCTTGTGCTGCCATGATTTGTGCTTCCGTGTTGTCTTTCAGTCCAGCTTTGTCCAGCCACTGGTAGGATTTCTGGATATCAGCCACCTTCTCTATCTTCCGGTGGTACATACCGTGCAGGAGCATGTCCTTCCATGATGGTTCCTCGCCTTCCTCCACTTTCTTGGGTTTCTGCTGCCTGAGGTATTCACTGAGCACACTGTCAGTTGGGGCCATCTTCGTGATGTATTCATGGATGTTCCTTGTCTCATCCTGGACTGTGGTGCTGACACTCACCAGTCCCCGGCCCCCTTCCTTCCGCTTAGCGTACAGCCTCAGGGTGCTGGACTTGGGGTGAAACCCTCCATGCATGGTAAGGAGCTTTCTTGTCTTTATGTCAGTGGCTTCTATCTCCTCCTTTGGCCAGCCTATTACCCCAGCAGGGTACCTGATCACGGGCAGGGCGTAGGTGTTGATAGCCCGGATCTTGTTCTTTCCGTTCAGCTGACTCCTCAGGGTTTGCCTGACCCTCTGCAGGTACTTGGTGGTTGCAGCTTTCCTAGTGGCCTCTTCATGGTTCCCATTCGGCTGGGGATCCCCAGGTACTTTTAACTGTCCTCTATGTCTGCAATGTTGCCTTCTGGTAGTTTGATCCCCTCCGTTCTGACTGCCTTCCCTCTCTTTGTTACCATCCGACTACACCGAATGACATTCCGATGTCATTGCTGTATATCCTGGTGGTGTGGATCAGTGAATCAATGTCTCGTTCACTCTTGGCATACAGCTTGATGTCATCCATGTACAGGAGGTGGCTGACAACTGCTCCATTCCGTAGTCGGTATCCGTAGCCAGTCTTGTCAATTATCTCACTGAAGGGGTTAAGGCCTATGCAGAACAGCAGTGGGGACAGAGCATCTCCTTTGTAGACTTGTGCTATGGGCTTGTGGTTGGCCTCCAGTGTTGTCTGCCACATCCCCATTGAGTTTCTGATGAAGGCTCTGAGGGTCCTGTTCATCTTGTATAGTTCTAGGCATTCCAGGATCCAGGTGTGGGGCATTGAGTCATAGGCCTTCTTGTAATCAATCCAGGCAGTGCACAGGTTGGTCAGTCTGGTCCTGCAGTCTCGGCTGACTGCTTGGTCTGCCAGTAGCTGGTGTTTTGCGCCTCTGGTATTCTTGCCCATCCCTTTCTGTGTCCCGCTCATGTATTGACCCATGTGCCTGTTCATCTTAGCCACTATGATGCCTGACAGGAGCTTCCACGTGGTGCTGAGGCAGGTTATTGGTCGGTAGTTGGAGGGGACCGGTCCTTTCTTGGGGTCCTTGGGGATCAGGACCGTCCGACCTTCGGTTAGCCATTCCGGGTGTCCCTCGTTAACTAGCAGCTGGTTCATTTGTGCTGCCAGGCGCTCGTGGAGTGCAGTCAGCTTCTTCAGCCAGTAGGCATGAACCATGTCAGGGCCTGGTGCTGTCCAACTCTTCATACTGGTGTCCCTTTCTTGGATATCTGCCACTGTAATGGTTACTGGACCCTGTTTGGGGAGGTCGCTGTGGTCTGCCCTCAGATCCACTAGCCACTGAGCATTGCCGTTATGGGTTGCGTCCTTCTCCCATATGCTCTTCCAGTATTGTTCTGTCTCCAGCCTTGGTGGTGCTGTTCTCATATTGTTCCCCTGCCATTGAGAGTACACCTTAGCTGGTTCCATGGAGAACAGCTGGTTTATTCTCCTGCCTTCTATCTCTCTGGTGTACCTCCTCAAGCGGCTGGCCAAGGCTGTGAGTTTTTGCTTGGCAGTTTCCAAGGCCTCAGGTATGGACAGCTTCCTGTACTTCTTAGGCCTTTCTGCAACTCCGATAGCTGGCTAACCTCCCTTCGTGCTACATTGATCTTAGCCTCTAGCCTCCTTCTCCATGGAGGGTACTGCCCCTTGTGGCTGTTCAACTTGTAGCCAGGTCCAGTCCAGGTTTCAAGCTTGGCCATGATCCTATCTTTCAGGTCAGTTCCTCTCGCACTCAATGATCCTTCTCCTATCGCACTTGGGGCTTGGTACCCAATCTCGGGTGGGGGTGATGATATCTCCCCCCTGACCTGGTGTCCTGGCTCCCCCTTGCCATAGCATTTATGTTGTACCTCGTCAATCTCTAGCTGTGAGAGCAGTCCCTTCTTTCGAATGTTGGAACACTGAGCTACTAGTTGTTTCGCCGTCATTGTGGATGTTGGGTATCGAAGAATCCATAGGTCCCTCATCCTATTCATGTAACCCCTCCCACCAGGGTTACAATTTGCAAAATTGTGTGTTAAATAATTTCTTTTAATGAAAGAGCTGCTCTGAGGTTCAGTGCCTGTCAGTATCTGTATTGTGTGCTTTGACATCTGTGACTCTCACAATGAAATGTAAAGGTGATATTAACTCACTGTATCACATGTGTGCAAAGCCAGGAAGAGAGTGAACGCTCCGTTGGTTGGTCTGACTATTGGCCAGAATGTTTCATTCAGATTAGGTGACTTTAGGAACCTGTGGATAAAAAAAAGCTTCAATGGAAAATGAACAGAAAACAAACCAAACATATAAAAAGAAGAAGAAAAAAAATACTGACAAGTAAGGAAACACTGCATCCTTCACACTGACCTTTAAGTTAAAATAGCTTCAGGAAAGGCTGTTAGCTGTAAATGATCAAATATCTGATTGTTGGATTTATAACAATTAAATGATTTTGAGTTCAATCACCAAACATAATATTTTATGGTGATTGTGTGGCCCAGATATCTTACATTTTTTATTAGTTATTTCATAATTTACTGGCTTGGAAAAAATTTCTGCTTTCCATGAATGATAAAAATAATTATTTTTTGCTTCCTAATGTTGTTTTACCCATTTTGGCAATTCTACATTACCTTCAAATGTAAGCATCTTATTTGTCATTATTATATTTAAATAGGATAAAATCTGGTATTTTAATGTTGGGGGGGGGTTAGGTTTTTTTTTTTTTTTTTTTTTTATGTGTGCGTGTGTGTGTTTTTTTTAATCTAATTATTTATTTTTACCTCCGGTAACAACTGACCTGTTCCTCACGTATCGGAGGAAGTCCTGGTGCAGAACGTAGAAGCGGCTCTCATTGTACTGCCCTGAATAGTAGTCCCTTGGCCTGGTGAGGTTAAAACACAAAAGACAGGAGGGATAATTTATATTATTAGGTTTTTTTTGTTTTGTTTGTTTCTTCTTCTTTTTTCTTTTTAAATTGCCTATTAAAACCTAAAACCAAAGTGGATTACAACCCAAGTTTCATGTTGTTTTGGGTCTGTCAAGAGTGTATTTGTCATTTGTATCTGTTAAGCAAGACACCTGTGCGTCTCTCACTTGGTTGTTGGTGCATTCAGCAGTGACATCTGGGAGCTGTGACAAAGGCCATGGATTTTTACTAGCTAGACAAAACCACAGCTGCTCTTAAAAAGTTGTCTAATGTCAATTTAAAGGAATTAGAAAATCTAAATTTGTTAAAGAAAGAGAAAAATAACCAGTGTATGTAACAGTCATGTACATCAATGAGAAATCACAGATGAAAGCTAAAAATTTAACAATGAGCATAAATCAAAACTTTCAGTCAATTTCCTGCAGATGATAATCACCATTCCTTGTCAAATTGGCCACCAGAGACCTGCTGCCCTTTGAGAAGACCCTCGAGCCATTGAAAATCTCTTATCCCCTCAGGAATCATCACATATTTTATTCCCTGCCAAGAGAAAAATTATGGAGAGTAATCATCTTTATTTTGTGGAGATTAAATTATAAAATTTAGAGATTATAAAAAGTATCACAATCCTGTCTAAGCTTTAGTACCTCATCATGAGGGGCAGATTTGTATCCATATGTCCCAAAAACAGAAGGTGATGCAGTGATGGAGTACGCTGTGTGAACGTACACTGATGTTCTATTTCCTACATCTTCCTCAAAACCTTTGGTAATGGCACCGTTCATCCTGCCAAACAGACACAAATTTTCCATGAGTGACTGGCTAAAATCTTTTTTTTTAGTGTTCTCATCCATTTCGAAATCAGTTCCACAAATAGCATGAATATTAGGTCTGTTTGATGACTGATGTGATTCATATTTCTAGTCTGGAGTACCAGAGGGGGGTGTCATTTACCAGTACAGCTGAGTCACATGCCGGTAAGAGATCTTTTCAGACAATAGCTGGTGTTGTTTAGGCTTAGGAAATAACAGTCAGTCTGGGAACTCAAAGGCAATCTTGGCATTCCTCATATAAAGTCGGTTCTTTCTACTTGTATCACTTCCTTAAGAGATTGAGGTAAGAACAGGTTTTGTGAGTTTTTGCTTGGCTTCTCATTTGAGTTTGAAAGTGTATTTCCTTCTTTGGATTTCATGTAAGGGTGTGGGACACACCACACTGGGCCAGTGTAAGCTTTCCTGTCTTCTTTTCACTGTCCTATCAACATAAAATAAAATAAATAAATAATAATATTATTCAGGAAGAGACCTCCACATCAGCATGGGTATAAGAGCAGAGGAAGCAAAGAATTTGCAGTTTTCTCCAGAAAACTGTTGAAGCATCTGTCTCTGAGATGAATCTGTGAGTTCCTGTACTAATAGATCATTAAAATGTTGGTAAAGACCAAAATGATTGCACACTTGTGTCATATTACAAAAATCATTGGGTGGACAGCAAGCTGAAATCAGACTTGCGACAATGGTGAGCATTAGGTTTAATGGTTAAGCTGGTTCTTTATGGATAGAGGCTTTGGCATCTGGAGAGGACCATTCCTATCAGAATGAAATTTCTCTTCATAGCTAAAAAGTGATTACACAGAGACTTATAATTATTTCAAGCAACTCTTCCTTTCTCCATGGATATAATTAGATCCCTTGGAAGGAGGAGAAAGACATAATGAGAAAGATATGATGAAAATATACAGCTATAAATGTTAAATGGTCACATATAGTTTGAATGACCTATTTGTGACTGTTAAATTAAAAACTTATAAATATCAATTCTTGTTTCAGCAAGGTGAAAATAAAACTGACTGTTTGGAACTAGCACAAGAAAGCTGGTCTTCAATCACTAACCTGTGGGTAGGCATACATATAATTGTGGTAAGTGCACAGACATTTAGGCAATATCCTGGTTCAGACATTTAAGTGTTTGACACTATGGTGTCAAAGTGTGAACCTCCTCCCTGTATGCATCCTCTTTGTTGTCAGTCATGAGTCGAATGATCCGTGATGTCCATGTTATGGATGGATTGACAGTTATGTGTACAGAGCATATAGAGGAGGATCGCAATGACTCTAGTGCTCATATTGAGGCTTGGGGTATTTGCTTGTCCAGCCTGACAGCCTGGGAGCATTTGGTGAGCTAATATAGTATCTAGTAACATATTTAAGTCAGTGCATGAACTTTATCCAACAGCTTATTTGAAACAATGTCATTAAATGGCGAGTTGAAGTCCATGAAGAGCATCCATATCAAGTGTGTTTGTCTACGAGAGTAAGGGCTGTATCAAGAGCCAGAGAGTTCATCTGTTTCCTATATTTTGTTGGTGTAAAGTTATTGCAACTGATAATGCTGTCTGATATGACGGGGTTTTCATCCTGTGACCAACCAGTCATATACTGTAGCCTACAATGAGGGTCAAAGGACAGAATGCACCTTATACATAAACAGTGGCTTGAAAGATAAATAAATAAATAAATAAATAATAAGACAAGATATAGCACTGTTTCTGTCAAACATATTTGCCTCAATATTGAATTTTTTCCTGTCTTTCTTTCTTTTTTGTACATATTTGTCACATGCTGTATGTTTTTGATCGTGAAAGTAATTTCACTATTAGACACTAAAGTAAATGCAGAACACAAACTTTTGTATATGATGATTTAATTTAGTAAGGAAACAACAAAAAAAACTATCCAACCCTGACCCAACGAAAAAAAAAAAAAAAAGTCCAGCCAATGCAGAGTTTAAGTAGAATGCAATAATTTGACAAAAAAAGTAATTTGTTCGCCATTTGTTACCATCTTTAAACCGGAGGCTTAATATAAGCCATATATACAGATATATAGAGATAGCACATGAAAAACTAAGTTTCATGACTCTTTCATTAATTTAAAAAAAGAGCTAGCTTATTCATCAGTCAGAAAAAAGTACATGTAAGTACTGTACCTATAAGTTTGGTAAGGTAGTGAAATTAAATTATTATGCTGTAGAAGAGATTTCAAAATGCTTCCAGATTGTCCAGCACTGACTGCTTTAGCAAATATGGCCCAAATGTCCAGCGCACAGTTTCAATATGTATGTGAAGTGCACCAGCAAAACGTCTCTTGAAAAAGAACCTAAGGGCTGTCTGCAGTTTGCAAATGAATGAATCACTTAATCACTGTTTGAAAACACCGTATGACAACAGCGATGGATTATTTAGCAGGAAAGCTTTGACTGGTAGGAAAAGGAACTTTATTTACGACAAATTATTTCTGCAACACTAATTCCTAGGCTTCTTTGACACAATATTATATCATAATTATTGCTACTTTTGTCATTTCTTTTTGTAAGGGTTTTCTTTTTATATGCTGCCATTGTCTTTAAGCTCTGCTACAAAAAAGGATAAAAAAAATCTGCTCAACCAAAATATGTGAAAACACCTAAATACATGTCTGCACATGTTCCTGCTTCTTATTTCTTGGAGGTTTTTTCTTTTTCTTTTTTAAGTTGTTCAAAAGAAAGAAGTTGTTGAAGAACAACTGCCAATTTTCTGAGAGAAATGAGTTTCATATCAGTGTCTGCATAAGTGTACACAAATTATATCTCAAAGGCTCTCCACCATAGTTACATATTGTCCTATGCATTCGAATGCATAGAAATAATACATTGATTTTTTTTTAAGGTGTGGAATATCCTGGAATTTTAAGAGGTGTGTTCTCCTCTTGGATCCTTCTTTAGCTTTCTGACAGGTTTCATTGCAGGCTTTCTTTCTGTGCTATCTGCCCAACTGTACAATTACATATGCTTGAGTGTAAACAGAGATTAGGCAGTTTGGTTTGGCAGTTAGTTTGGGTGAACTGATATACTCCCTCACAGAAGCTCTGTCCACTCTCTGTTTACATATGCCCGGCATGAGAGTCTAATCCTAACCCAGTCACAACTGGCCATTGTGTTCGGTTTGCTGTGTTAAGATATGATATTTTTAGTTATGATACATAAGAGCAGTTCTCTCTTTATACATTCAGAAAATTTTGTGAATAGAAATATCTTATAGGTTAATTTGAGTAACGTCCTGCAAAAAAAAAAAAAAATCTCTGGTCACTTTATTAGGTACACCTATTCAACCCAAACCTCTGGTAAGCCAGTCATAAGGCTGTTCAATTCAAATTTAATATAGACATGTAGAAATTGTGAAAGAAAGGTGACCCCAGTGACTTTGAAAGTGGCATGGTTGTTGGTGCCGACAGGCCGGTCTATTTCAGAAAGTTCTGAAGGGAAAAAGGACTCCAGCATAGTACTAATAAGATTTACCTCATAAAGTACCTGGAGAGTTTATGTGATGTTGTACCAAAGAAGAAATACTTTCTTTGTGATGCTTTCAGCCACTTAATTTATCTTGATCTTAAAGGTTTATAATATATTTCAGTAGTATTTTTAAATACCACTGAAATATGGTATTAGCTGGATGTTTCTAGAGATTTCACCAGACCTAAGTGATTGTTGTGCTCTAATTTTACCCCTAAACTACCCTTCAGTTCAGAGAGAATAGGCAGGTATTTTTTGAAGCTCTTTCTTACCGAAAAATGTAATCATGAGCATCGATCTCTGCACCCACTTTTGAGCCGTTCAGAATTCCCGCAGTACCCACCACAGCGCAGTGAACACAGCCATCGCCCCCTGGTTTTGGGAGGAGCAGTGGCTCTTTTGGCTTTGGAATGAGCTTCACTGAAGCCATCACATCTGCAAACGAAAAGAGAACGCATAGGTACAGACACTTACAGGAGCAAACCTGTTCAGACTTGTGGATGCCAGATTTTCATCCTAACATGCAAATTTCACAGCAGAATTTCATCAGACCAAATAGTGTTTTTTTTCCAATCTTATGTTTTCCAGTTTTGCTGGATTAGGGTTAGACTAAAACTAACTTAACTAAACTGTAGTCTCAGTTTCCTGTTTTGATAGGAGTGGCAACTGGTGTTGCTTTCTGGTAATTCAAGTTTCACTTTGCTATGTGTTCTTCTGCATACTTTAGTTGTAACAAGTGTTTATTTGCTGTTGTCTTCATATTAGTTCAAAGAAGTCTGGCTGTTCTCTGAACTCTGAGATCAACAAGGCGTTTTCACCCAGAGAACTGCCAGTGCTCCCTACCATTTTACAAATTATTTTTATTGTTTTATAATTTTATTATTGTATTGTGATGGATTATTATCATTATTATTTGACTTATGGATGGCAAAAAGTAATTTTTTCATTCACAAAAAAAACTTTTTTTCAGTGCAGAAAAAAAGCTTCTATAGTAAGCTCTAGAGATGGTTGTGTGGGAAAATTAAAATCCCAGTAGATCAGCACTTTCTGAAATATTCAGGCCAGCCCATTTGGCACCAGCAACTGCGCCACACTTAAATACAAATAAATCTTCTTTTGTTGCCCATTCAGATGCTCAGTTTGAACTTCAGCAGGTAATCTTGACCATATCTATGTGTCTAAATGCATTGAGTTGCTGCTATGTGATTGGATGATTAGGTATTTGCATTAAAGAGCTGTTGAACAGATATATAATGAAATGACTGTATTTTCATTGGGTGCGGTAAGAATAATGTCATGTCTTACAAGTTCAATCTTAGCTTTTTTTGACTGATTTTTTAATTACTCCTTTATAAGCTTGATGAGTTTTGACTTACTTCACCGGGACCTTTGTCTCTCTGGTGCTGAAAATAGTGCAATTACAGAATTGAAAAGTGTGTGTGACACAAAAACAATACTAAAAAGTGACATAATATTTCTTAACACTTAAGGTAACTGTCTTTCTTATTGACGTGTATCTTTTTCACAATTATTTTATTAGAATATTTGGAGTTAGAATTAGGAAGAGGAAATTAAATCATAAAAAAATATCTATTATTCCATTACTTAGCAGTCTGTCACACAATACTGATACTTGACCTGATATCAGTTTCACAACTACCTACCATCATATTTGTACTCCATAAACCCAAAAGGATTGTTAAAATGTGAAAGGCGATTCCACTCGCTCATATTAATGTTGTCCTTGTGCAGAAACAAACGTATGTTGGGAAGAAAAGCCTTCTTGAAGTTCTCATCCTGAGAGTTTCGCAGTGATTGGGCACATGTCTGATAATCACAGAAATATTAAATCGTGAAATAGGTTAAAATGATTTTGTGCCAGACGTATTTTAGAAACCTTTAGGAATAATTAAATGGAGTGAAACCATTAAGAAACCCAGTCAAACAGAAAATACAGGACAGTTACAGCAGAGGCAACAGACTGACTGCATTGCTGAGCTCACTTCAGCGTTGCAGCCCACACCCATCAAGTTAATTACTACATTTATACTGTTTCTGTCATACTGTGTCTTAGCATGCTTACTGTTGGTCTAGGTGGGGCATCCTGGTTATAGACATCATCAAAATCCCACTGAGGAGCCTTTGTGAAATTTCCTTGGTGGAGGAGAGGTATTGGAGTCTCAGCCACGGCTTCATGTGTAGAGTATTTCGGTTCTGTCACTGGGTTTGTTTGTGTTGAATCAACATTTTTTGCTCGGCTGGTTGTGGTAGACACAGAAAGCAGTGCAGTTGTTTTTTCTTTCTGTCCCCAGAGTTTAATATCAAATGAAAGGCTTTCCCATCTGAGTTGATGTTTTCCTGAGAAAGTTATCCAACTGAATCATAAATTTGACAGAAAAGAAGAAATGGAAACAGGACAAAAGGGAGCAAAAAGGAAAGTTCAGAATTAGCAAATCAATTTATGGTTCCTTTTTTTAAAAAACAAAACAAAAGAAAACAAACTGCTTACCGTTTTGATAACTTTTCCTGAGATAGAATCAAAACCACAAAACAAACTGTCATTATAAGGAGCAACGAAAACATCCTGGATGTGTGGACTGCCATCGCTGCTGAGTGAAGGCTTTGCCGTTAAATTGAACACACATAGATACACATATGCACTCCCTTCTGGATTTGACTCACTGAAGTGACTGGGCTGGGCTACACCACAGTTTGTGGACAGATATGCAGTCAAATATATTCAGACACACAAAGCCAACCACACAGAGCTTAACAGAAATGTGGTTTGTTACACAACAATGGAACTTCAGAAACAGACATAACTCAGGGATTAAACCTGTTATACATGTAGTATTTTAAAACTAAAATAAACAGCCACAGCATTCCTTTAATAATGTTGAAAACTGCAAAAAGGTTGGTTTGTCTTGTGAATTTGACCGTGTGTGGGTGCGTCCTGCCATCTCCCTGCCTTAGGTGCCACACTTTTTGTACAGCTGACTCTACTCAGGGGCAAAAAGTCTTGTTGGTTTTGTAGACAGTGAGATGTGTGTGTGTGTGTGTGTGAGATGACTGCTTATTCCTGCTCAGTAGAGAGGAGTGTGTTTTTTTTAGTTCAATTAGTAATTCAATTATTAGAAAAAATCTTTAATTTAACGCGGGGCACCCTAGTTATATTTTTTGTGCTTATTATATATTTAATTGGTGATTCACTGTTATCTCACTACACTTTACATGTTCTATGACATTACTTAAAGATACCACTAGGTGGCGCTTAACATAAACCCCCTTGGAGGCAAATCTGCAGAATAAATCCTGATGTTGAAACTTTAAACAAGCTCATGATCTTTATTTTACTTGAGTCATTTTGAGAGTTACTAGTGCTCAAAATGACTCATAGGTAACAGTTGAAACAGTAAGGCTGTTGTCAACATGTGAAAGGAAAGAATAACGTTGTAAGTAAACGTGGTCATGCTAGGCTAATGGACTTGTTGTTAGTGGGGAAAGTGTGGCAGGCGCCTCGCAGAGTTATACGTACTGCGCTTCAACATAATATTACCGTATTGTGTGTGTATAACCTATTTTTAAGTTTTGTGGATATTATACATGGTTATGCTGAGGATATGTCGGCCAATTTCCACTGCCTTTTGGTTAAACTGTCAGCAAGGAATTTGCACTGTTACATTTTTATATAACTTTAATGCAAAAAACAGCTGCTTGTTTAAGTGAAAATACATTGATGGGGTTTTTTGCACTAATAAAGTTGTGGAGTTGTAAAGTATTTTGTCTAGTGTCAATTATATCATCAGTTATATCGTTATCGCAAATTTTCAAATGTATATTGAGATAAATATTTTTGGTCATATCGCCCTGCTCTACTCACAATGATTGTGTGTATAATCAAACCTCATGTATTCAAGGAACTTCAGTAGGTGAGCAAACAGATTTAGCTGCTTTACATTAATATGTTTTTCTAAGGTTGTAAGTAAACAATGATCTGGGTTGAACATCACACAAGGTATTGTTGCATCTGTTTTTCCATATTGTTGATGTGTTTTTTCATTAAGAAGCATATTTAATTAAAACTAAACACATTACATTGAGTAAGTAAAGCTAAAAACATTTGAACAATTTTGTTATTTTAATTTCAAATGCAACTATTAGGTATTGTACTGAAGTCATTTATGTTCTTTATGGGGCTACAGTTAATATTTTCTTAAACATATTAAGACATGACTCACAAACCTCGTGGGGCTTCTGACTGAAAAACTCCCAATACTGTAAAATTCCAGGTATACTTTATAATTACTCATAAATGGAGTAATTTTAGTTCTTTAAGCAGCTTTACATTTCCTCCAGTTAAAAGAAATCAGTTTGTCAAGGGGAGTGCGTGTCATGGAGAGCATCACCCAAAAGCAGGACTCGGAAAACAGGACTTAAAACTCAAAAATCGCTTTATTGGTTTTTTTGGGGTTTTTTTTGTTTTTTTTGCCTGTCCCGTTTGGCTCTTTTGCCATCAGAATTATTGTCTAAAGGCAAAGAAAGATGCCCAATGGATTTACTTTACCAAATTGACCATCCCAGCTTTGCCGTAATGGTCCATTTGATTCACCTTTTATTGTTTATTTTATTTTCACTTGCTGAATACGGGACAGACTTGACTGGGGGAAAGAAAAGGGAGAAAGAAA